AATTACTCAATTAATCAATAATTAACTAGTTTAAGGTATAAATGACATGTTAAAACGCACTTATCAATTTCATCCATATGAAACTATAGAAAAATTGAATACTTTTTCTTCTTACCACTTCTAATAAACTATTATGTGGCACTTAAAGAACTGAGTTTTCTATATATTCACAGTATCATCTCGTCTCATGCAGATTGACAAGTCTGGTTGGATAACAATGTTGAGGTTCAAAAACAGCGAGGCATATGCTAAAAACAAGACAAAGGAATACGATGATCTTGCAGTGTAGTAGATTTTCTCATGTTCTGTTCTTTCTCATTGCTTGTTTCTCGGCACACTCTTTGAAGTAAGAACGCCATAGAAGTTCGTGTTCGTGGGTTCTCTCATCCCTTACAATCTGCATTTGTACGTTTGGTAAACATCTTGTTTCTTGATTGAAATCTTAATCTTAACCTAAATCTAAATCAAAGTTAACAATTAATTTTAATAATATATTTCACGGGATCCACAGTTTTTCAAATTTTATCAAATTTTATTAGAAATGTGATTTTAATCCTCATCAAGCATGGGCAAATTTACAATATATTTGAATTTTTTTTTTCTTTTCAAGAACTCTCTTGACACTATCTCTCTTACGTCTTTTACCAAAACCTTAGCCCTTCTAATTTTTCAAAAATTTGTCTATAATTTCACTACAAATTATCACATCTATTATAAATCTTCACTTCCCAATTAAATTTTCAACTAATTAGTAACACAAATTTGCATTTTTCTCCTATCAAATTGTGTATATAGGCCCCTGTTTGGCCCCCATTAAATTAAATTACATTAAATTTCTCTCTCTTTTCATTACATTCACACGTTCATCAAATAAAATAATATTACACATAAATCTAAAACTTTTCATTACTTTTCCACTACACATTCTCCCATTAATCACTATTCCAAAAATTTTCAACAATCAAAAATGCCAAATAATAGGGGACAAGCAGGGGCTAGAATGTGTTTGAAATGATTATGTCCAATTTGACTTATATTTAACGAATTGTATTTATTTGATTAATTATTAGTATTGAATATTTGTTATATATTTTTTTTTCTTTCGATTACTCAAATTGATTGCTTGTATCAAATACACTATAAATCCTTTAAACGTAAATATGCATTTTCTTGTGATGAGCAAAATGTTAATAAAATAATTGTTCAAAATCAAATGGATGAAAATAATGAGCAAAACATTAATGAATAGTTTTTTTTTTCTTTTTTTGAAATGTAATTCTGCATTTTCTCGGGTCAAATATGAATAATTCAAAAATCAAGAACAAAGTATTCGATCTGTACAGGGTTTGATTGTGTCCCCTACTCAAAACGTTTGTTTTCGCCATTGACCCCCAATAGTTCGTTAATCTGTTGCGCATTTACCTTGGATGTAGATAATATACAAGTTTTCGGACACGACTAGTACATCTCTTCTAATGAGGCTTCAGATTATAGTCACGTGGCGATCAACTAGCAAGTTCAGTTAAGCATGTACTCAATATCACTATCCTATCTTGATCGATGTGAGGCCATATATAAGATAGTCGAAGTGATGTATCACCTCCTTCGAGGTGCTATGTAGAGACTAACTCTCCATGACCTAGGCGAGATACTATAACATGCTACAAAAGGGATTCGAGATAATTAGCCTCTGTTGATGGAAAACATTACCCACTTCACCTCTTCCATGTGATTTTTCGTACACAATCTTTCTATAATTGATTGATATGACATCTCTACAACAAATGCTTCAATGGTCAACTTATCAATATACTTTCCAAATGTCAGACCTAGATTTTAGGGTGTCCACTTTTCAAAAATATTAAATGTCAATCAATCTAGGATTGATGGAGTAACGTCCAGAAGGAGATATCTCGCCACCAAGATGAGGCCACATACCTCTTAATCCAACGATGACAATTCCCCATTTTCTACTATAAAAGATCACACTTAGGTGCGTTCGATTGCCAATATTTTTCATGAAAACGTGTTTTTTTTTTCACTTAATTTCCTACTTTTATGATGTTTTATTAACAATTTTTTCCACGAAAAATATTTTCCCACTTTTGGTCATGTGACTGTATTTCCCTTGAAAATAAAGAAAATATTTCTTTAGGGAGATGTGGTATTTATATTCTAGATATTTCACTCTCTCTCTCTCTCTCTCTCTCTCGCTCATCCATCTCCTCTATCTCATCTACCAACTAATAAAAAATGACAAATATAATATTTTCAAAGTTGAAAACTAAATCAATAAAACACATTTAATTAATAATTTGCATACAAATAATTTCTAGGCAATTGAATTATCTAAGATTTATTTTCTTTCCATGCAAATTTCATACTCACAATGAAACGCACCCTTAGTATCATTTGAAAGTGATGTAACTTTATAAACTCAAAATAAAGTTGTTTTCTATAATTTTTTACTCTATATAAAATCGTTTCTACACCGACCCCCTGTTTTTGAACACTCTTGTGGCTCACGTTCATAGTACATCCTACATCCAAATATCCTTATAAGCAACTGAGCTAACTATCGAATCTACTCGGACACCCCTGTCACCTTCAGAGAAGGCCACGTGTCCTTAACAATTTGTCCAAACGTGCATGACAAAATGCTAGGTGGAAGTGAGTGAAGCAAGGGTCTATCGACCACGTCAACAACGATTACATATTCTCTCTTTGCATTTGTAATTAAAATGCCTGTATTCCGTGATGGTGAGTTCCAATGCAAAATTTTCACGTGCCTTAAATCTGGGTTTGAGATAGACCATGTGCTATGAATTTCTAGGAATCTGTATGGTTTATTATCTGATATTTGACTTGTGAGTCCATTGCATTATTGATAAAAAATGCAGGGTCGGTCCAATGCGTGTAAAGGCATCTTCTCTTCATCTTCATTGCCCACTAGTCACTGGCTTTTTGGTCAGCATTAGAGAATATATGAATGACCTCTGGTTAAAAGAAATGATGAAATCGAGTGAGGGTCCCAAACTTTTGATTACTATGACAATGGAGTCCTAAATCTTTTATTTGTGACACCCTAGGCTCTCAACTTCATGTGTTGGAGGGTTTGGATCCAAATAAACCGTCCAATTGAGTCTTAGTCACTGTTTTATTAAAAAGAAATGTATACCCTTATTTTGATTAAAATAAGAAAGGAAAAGAAAAAAAACTAACACAAAAAGATGAAAAAATCTTTCGTCATTTCCCCTTGCGACCGTTGGAACTCAGTTGTGAGACGATCTCCAATGGTTACGCAAGTTTAATATAAATTAGGTGCGAAAACTATTCTAACGGTACACCAAATTTGGTGCAAAGTTTGGTATAATGAATAGTGTTACTCAAAATTTGAAGTAATTATATTCCACATTTTGCCCTCTATTCCCTTTTACAACATTTTTTTTTTGTTTCATCTATCCATTTTTTTTTTAATCTTTTAGAATTAATAGACTTGAATTTATTTATAATTATTTTAATGTGATGGTTATTTTTATTTAACATTTAAATTTTAAATTCTAATCAAGTAATAAGTAATCATTATTGATACAATAAATTAAAAATAATGAAAAGTTAAAATTTTGATAATTTTTGTAAATTTATTAATAAACGCAATATTGTTACTTCATTAAATATAAATTTCAATTTCACGATTTTAGTAATAATATAATTTTAATTAAATAATTTAAAATAAATTTTGGTGTAAAATTTGATGTAAAAAGCATTTCCAATGGTTACACAAAATTTTGTATAAATTTTACGTAACTTCTAACCAAATTTGGTGTAATAATTGAAGAGGTTACACAAAATTGCACCAAATATGGTATAAATTATTGGAGATGGTCTGATGTTGCCAACCACACCAGAAAAATACTAGTTCACCTTCTACCAATAGCCAAAAAACACCGACTCAAAAATTTGCCATCAAACCACTACCACCTCCTCCTAGCCACATCCCTGTCGATGTCGATGTTGGTTCACTAACCTAGCCCCAAACTAGTGCCGGGGATGATAAAATTTTGATGCTTTCAATAATTTTTATTTGAAAACTAATATTTAATTGAGCTTCTTATTCCGGAAGTGCTTCTAACAATTCTTCTAACTAGAAGAAACATTTTCATAAATTAGTCATATTGGTTCAAAAGTTCTCAAAAGTGACTTTTCAAAAGTCATGCCAAACATGGGCGGACCCAAGGGGGGTCCTGCGGGGGCAGGTGATCCCCCAACTTTTGAGATTCAATTTTTTTTTTTAAATCACGTTTTTTATCGATTGAAATTTAAATTTTAATCTAAATCGAAGTTAACAATTAATTTTAATAACATATTTTCATGAAATTCATAACTATTTAATTTGTACCCAAATTTACTAAAAATTTGATTTTAATCTTCACCAAACAGGAGTAAAATAAAAATAAATTTGAATTTCAAAATATACAAATTTTAAAAATTCTTCGACAATCGTACGCTAATCGAATCTATAAATTATTTGTATCATTTCGAAACTTATTTCAAGAATTACATTATGGACATATCGAATAGTTCAAACATATATCGAAAACAGTTAAAAATACGT